AAAAACCCAGCCAATCATATTATTTTTATCAATGCAAGTCAAAATTAAACTGTGCAGACTTGTATTTTATTGTGACCACTCTGTAAGATAAAATAGAATAATAAAACTTAACACTAAGTTTGATAGAAAAAACTAATGGGCTTATTAAACTTCAGATTTAAAACATTGAAAGATAAAAATGTATATTAAAAAACACATTTTGGTTTATTTTTGCTGTTTGAAAGAATCTGTTTCTCTGGTCTACTGATAAGCAATGGGTTATATAATATTTCTATGATAAACTAAGTGAGTTGTCAATAGTGTATCAGCATTTTTCAAATCTCTACAAACACATGCCCATGACACACCATGTTAATTGTTTTTTTGTTGTTTGTTTGTTTGTTTTTTTTGAGACAGAGTCTCGCTCCATTGCCAGGCTGGAGTACAGTGACATGATGTCGGCTCACTGCAACCTCCACCTCCTGGGTTCAAGCGATACTCCTGCCTCAGCCTCCCGAGTAGCTGGGACTACAGGCATGTGCCACCATGCCCAGCTAATTTTTTGTATTTTTAGTAGGAAGGGGGTTTCAGTATGTTGGTCAGGCTGGTCTCGAACTCCCGACCTCAGGTGATTTGCCTGCCTCGGCCTCCCAAAGTGCTGGGATTACAGGCAGGAGCCACTGCACCTGGCCCATGTTAAAAAATTAAAACAAACAAAAACAAACAAACAAAATCTGTTTTCTGATCAGAACAAAGCTACATACTGTTTTCCATTCAGAATATTCATAATGTTCATGAGCATATTAAAAGCTTTAAGATGTAATTCAATGACTAAGCCTATCAGACTTTGTTTAAACACAGTTTTGAAAATTTACTTGACTACGGTCTAATTCCTATAGATACTCAAAAGAAGGCACACTTTTCAAACAGGCTTTGGAAGACCCATGGCATCATACTGCGTTCGAGGGCACACAAGGTCTAAATTTACAAGAATCTCTCCAACACTTTAAAATCAATGAACTTAAATATAGGTTACTTCTTTCTCATTAAAGATACCCTGTATCTAATATTCCAGATTAAGATGTCTAGCTTCTTTCTAATCTGTTCACTTCCCTGGGGATATCTGATCTCCCTACTCTTGAGATTGCCTTCTGCTATTACCTGCTTTATCCAAAGTTAGAAAATATGCAATTATGCAAAAGAAATGTTCCCTTCTGTAACTGTCACTTTTCTAGCACTCCTTTTTATTGCATTGCTTCAGCATTTTTTCACATTATACAATGAACAATGTTTTGCATTTCTTCTTATATTTCTTGGTGAGTATTTTAGGTCTTTTATAGAATCCTTCAGTCTTCATAACTATACTTTCTATTTCCTAAATAGCATTCTTTCTAAACCTATAGTTTTTAACCTGTCACACATTTCTGCAGTGCCTTTCACAGTGTACTCCAAAATATAAAAATGCAACTTATTCTGTTGATTTGCAGATCTACTTAAAAATAAAATATAAATTGAATATATATATATATGAAAGATTATATTCGCATGGTTGCCCAAAGAGAATGAAATGAGGAGTGAAAAAAATAGGAGTAATATTTTGTTATAGCAGTTTGAGTGGATTACAACAATTGACAATGCTTTCATTTCATGTAGTAAGTGGAAGTCACCTGGTTGCTCTGAATACTGGCATGTGTTAGATTATCTGTTTTTTTCAAGGCTACCTAACAATAACAGTTGGATTTCAAGGCAAATCTAGATACAAACACACTAAATGATGGTGCTGTTTATAAAGGTCCCTTGTATAAAAGAACAGCCTGCGTATGAATTTTTGGCTTTTCAGAACAAGGAAAGATTGAGAACTAAAATATTGAGAATTATCATTAAAATGTCAAGGATTTAATTTCATATTGTTAACTATCTTTGAGTATATGTTTTACTTCCTCAACTAGATATGGGAACAAAGAACATTTATTTTACCTTTTTGAATTAACAATGACTTCTGCTAATTTCCACAAAATTACAGAACATCACAATTATGTTGATTTTAGCTGTCATTTGTTTTTATACCTACATTAATTATAAAGTATAAGAGCTTTGCTTCCCACTATTATGCATTATGCCATGTAATAAACAAAACAAGAACATGGGCCCCCTGAACCTAAAATAAAATTATATTTTTTAAAAAGCATAAGGAATTTAAATGACTTGGTAATGTTCATGCAATTAGTCAATACCAAATGTAAGGATTAAATTTAACATTGCTTTAAAACTATAACTTTTAAAGAAGTAAATAAACATCCAACTTTTATTGTAGTATTTATTTTGTAAAATTATCTTTACTAATAATTACAGAATATGAATTTCATAAATATTAATTTCTGAGATGAATAATAAGTATTTAGACTTTCCCTTCCCTGATTGCACCATTTGTCACACAGCTAAGCTAAACACGAAAGTGAAAAGAATACTAAAAACAAAGAGAAAATTCTTATATAACATAGGCCAAAGTAGAGATGCTGTAATATCTAAGCCTTCAGAATATCTATTAAACAGTTTTAGACACAAAGCTATAATAAAGGTCCTTACAATGGTGTGAGGATGCATACTGATCTTTCTCTTTTAAAAGAGCTTTGATGACCCCAGCTTCAAATGATTAGCTTGTCTCGACATAATGGAGAAGCTTATGTAAAGAGTATTTCAAAAAGATTACGCAGAAGCTCTACGTCTCTATCAGAGAGCAGTTTTAAAGGGGATAATGTGTCACTTAGAGTTGGATGCTCTCCTCCATTGTCTTCCCTGTCGATTTTACTAAGGTTCTTAAAATGTATGTCAAAGTAATGTGATGTGTGCTGACAAGTTGAGTAAATCTACTTGGTTTACTACGTGCATCAGCAGAACTTCAAATTTTACTAGGCATAGTTTCATATTCAGTAATGAATTGAAATATTTACTGTGCAAAGTGTTTATGGATAACATATTAAAGATATGCGAGGAAGAAGGAGAGAACAAATGTATTGCTAATTGCAAGGCATGAGGAAGTGGCCAGGTTGTGTACACTTAGTTTAGTCCTTTGTAAGTATTTTCAAATTTAGCATGATGGTGTGCACAGGCGCTGAAGTGAGATCACCAGGGGTAGAATCACCTTCCTACTACATACGTGGAGAGGTGTTCCCAAACAAGCACTACACTTCTTTGTGCCTCATTTTCTTCATCTGTAAATGGGGATCATCATAATAATGCCTACCACGCGGAGGGCTATAAAAACATGAAATATAAAGTGCTTAGCACAGTATCTAGAACACAATTATCAATCAGTGACTTAGCTAGTAGGGTGATTTGTAAATGGATACAGTCTGAAGTCTTAATAAATCTGTACAAAGTCTTCAAAACAGTCCATAAATAGTCCCTAAATTAACTTTTACAAAATAAAGAATTTTACAAATGTATTGCTCATTTTATTAACAAAAATATTAATTTTTTAAAAATTAATTTGAATCTATATGAGGATAAAGATGAGGTAATCTGGATGCATGTAAGAATACAGTAGACTTTGAAATAACTTTGGGGCCCAATCAGAAATCATCCTTCCTTGGGCAGGGATGGAAAATGATGAGTTGCAATTAAACAAAGCACATATTTTAAATGTCAGAACAAATCCTTTAAATTACGTTAGTGGTATCTTATTACTGGACCACTTACTGTAGCTGTAATTACCATACATAAGAATAAATGGGTGGGAAAGTGCAAAATAGGTATAAACAAAAATCATTGAGGAGAATAAAGAGTTATAAACTCATTTTTTTTAGTATCATGACAGAATAAAAAATAACACCACATTCAGGACAATGATTTACCTGTCTCTTCAAAAGCATTATATACTAGGTTTATTTAGAATTTCTATGCTGTATTCTGAGTCACATACTTTTGCACTATAATCTTCATAATTACCCTGAAAGAGAATTTGCATATCAGAAAACTAAAGTTTATAAAGGTTAAATAATTTGCCTACGGTCAATTCAATCTTCAACTGAATTAAACAGTGTGCTTAGCCATATAGAATTTGTTCCATATGTATAGAATTTGCTGATTTGTTGTCTGTTTCTGTAAATAAAACTTTATTTGAATACTGTCAGGCCTATTTATTTACATATTCTCTATGTCTGCGTTAGTGCCATGAAACACTGTAGTTGTAACAGAGATCATATGGTCCATGAGGCTTCAAATATTTACTATCTGGCCCTTTAAGAAAAAAAATTGCATTACATTCTAGACCTTCTTCAATGCAGTGGAGGCGTGAGGAGCCTGAGGATCATTTTGTCCATCAGGCCTGTATAGTGGTAGAGACATGGGTCCAGATTTCTCTAGTGGTGTAGCCACCCAGATCTAACCACTGAGTTTCCCAGTTGCCAAAGCTACTCCTCACAGGACAAGGGGGTGCCCTAGCATCTCAGCATTCTTCAGGCCCTAAATACCTGCTGTAAGTGCTCTCAAGGGATAGCATAGCAACTCTTCCACTGACATTCATTTTGAACCCAGAGAAAAGAGAGTCCAGTGATTAGAATAGACTTGACCCATTCTCCTCTCTTCAGAGCTTCTTAGGTTGCTTTAAGGACACAAACACAGAGGATCATTTCTTTCTTTTCTAATTTTATTTTATACTGGGACAACTAATCAATTTTATTTCACATTTTTAAAAGCTATACATAACAAAGAAGCATATTCAAATCACTCTAACCATTCCAGTTCAATTAATAACTAGAAGGAAATTAGTTATTGCTGCTCCAGAAAAAGTTTATGGGTTGAGCTGTCTCTATGGTAGCAAATACATTTGAAAGAAGTTTTCAAAATACTGTGCACAATTTTCTTTTGTGTGTGATAGATTAGTTATTCAACTGGATTGTTTCAATCAATAGGCTATTTTGAAATTCCCTGATATGCACGTATTAGGAGAGTATAAATCATATGTGTTTTAAATATATCATCGCATAACTCTATAACTAAGAAATTCTTCATTAACTTACATGTCTCTGGGATCCATCATATTCACACCTTTCAATTTTTCCTAGACTGCCATCTGAGAAATACAACTTCTCTGCACGGTAGTCGATAGTGAGTCCATTTGGAGTGAGTATGTCTGTACTGACCACTACTTGAGCATTCTTCCCAGTCAGAGTAGATCTCATGATACTTGGATGCTGTTCATTCCAGTTGGTCCAAAACATTAAACTAATGAAAATGAAAATTGTAACTATAAGTTAAACTTCTCATCAAGAGTAAAAATACTAATAGAAACAGGTCAATAGCAAGCTATTTAAAAAGAAGCAGAATTATTTACCTCATATTCTATGCCCCTAACAAAGTCTAGGTAACAAAAGGAGATATGCATATGATATTTGCATGTTAATTTTACCCGGGTTCTTAAACGAAACCTAGAACCTACTTCTAAAAAAAGGATTTCCTGGGTATTCCTTCAAATAATTTAGTTAAATTGTTAGATGCATGAGTATTTATTTTAATCAAGAACAAAACAGTGATCTTGTTTGTTTTCCACAAACTGCAAATATACTCTAACTTATTACCACATTTCAGCTGATCCAGTATAATCATTCTTATCCTAAGTATAATTATCTGCTTCAATTGATGAAAATAAAAATCTTCTTCCCCTTCTAACTTTCCTTTTTAAATTCTGCATTCTCTTTTGTATTTGTTTTGGAGAAAGGAAATTACTAAACTCCTGTTTTTTACATTTCTCTTTTTCTCTCTTAGTGTGATTTTTCTTTTTTTTTTTTTTTTTTTGTGACGGAGTCTCGCTCTGTCGCCCAGGCTGGAGTGTAGTGGCCGGATCTCAGCTCACTGCAAGCTCCGCCTCCCAAGTTCATGCCATTCTCCTGCCTCAGCCTCCTGAGTAGCTGGGACTACAGGCGCCCGCCACCTCGCCCGGCTAGTTTTTTTGTATTTTTTAGTAGAGACGGGGTTTCACCGTGCTAGCCAGGATGGTCTCGATCTCCTGACCTCGTGATCCACCCGTCTCGGCCTCTCAAAGTGCTGGGATTACAGGTTTGAGCAATTGTGCCCGGCCAGTGTGATTTTTCTATAAAATACAATATCATTTCTAAAACTCTAGGGGTGACTCTTAAATTCTTCAGCATAGTATCTGTTCTCTATGGATTCCCAGGTATAATCATTTAAAGGCAGTTTAGCATTACAGCCAACAAAGTTATTCAATAGGTGGTTTTGAGTATTTTATGACACTTATTACCAAAATTCCCAAATAATTGTCAAATTAACAACAAAAATGTTTGTATTCAATTTTCATTGTTGGTAATTTTACTTATAAATTGTGACATTTAATATAAAAAATAGTGAATTAAAACATTTTAAAAGTTATGCATAGAATGTAAAGTATTAAACCCACAATTTATTTACAATATTTTCCTAGATTGTAGGTTTTATAACAAGAGAATTTTAGAGGTGTTAGTAGTGTTCCTTTCATTCCACCCTCCCGACTTCATTTCACAGGTGAGAAAACAGAATGGTCCAGAGAGCTTAAGTAATTAAAGTTTTCACAAATAATTAGTAACTGAACCAAATTTTAAACTTAGCCTAACTTGGATTTGCAGTTTAGGATTTTATTTTAAAATATCTGTTAATCTATTAACATACAATGGTGTTTTGAAGGTGTCATTTACATATATGATAAATTGTCTTTTCATACTTTAATTACAAATAATTATCAAATTGAAATTTTTACATGTTTAATTTTAATTTACAGTTCACCATATGCAAGGTGAAAAGTGTAAATGTTAGCCTATGTAATAAATAATTACAGGATAAAGCACTTACTAATTAAAACTCATCATACATAATATCATGAGTGACCGCTTCATTTTTATTTCAAAACTGACTTATAAATTCCTTCGCCCAAGTCTTTTATTCTTACTGTGTGACATTTATTATTGTCCTGAGATTCTTTTGGTGATGTGTTGAGATAAATGCAGCTGAGCCAGCAAACCATATCCTGATAGGACAGTGGTGGGAGCAGTCTCCCCAGCTCCACGATGAGTCATTGCATTGCTCAACCTTCAGAATTTTCACATATAAGATGACGTTCAATTAAGTGAATTAAATCTGACCTCACTTTTAGCTCTACGGAAAGGTTCAGATTTACAGCTATTTTCACACTGACCAATTCATGTTACTTAGTCCTTGCTTCTGATAAGTGGTCAGGGTCAGTGATTATCTGTCATTGCTTTTTATTCTTCAACCTTTTTTTTTTTTAATTTTTAAATCACACCTAAAAAGAACTCTTCCAGTTTTGCTCAAGGAAGGCCAGATTGGTCTGATTTTTGTTTATTTGTTTCATTTAAAAATAAAAAGCATTTTCTTATAGTTAACAAACAACTTTACCATATTGTATATGAGAGTGAAAGTTGATAGATATTCTTTGTCT